ATGACATATCACGTCTGCACTGGAAGAATATACGCTTTGAAAGGAACTATAAAATGTGTAATTGGATTACTTGAATTTGTATTGTGTTTCTGTTTGTATAAAAACATAAGTGTTGAGACAAGTTTGACTGAGAAACCCAAAGAAAAATGTTCTTTCAAGTGTGGGATAAACGCGTTTCTGCCCCACACCCTGGCCATCCACACCGAGCAGGTCAATTGAATGGCATTTCACTCCGAGAATGACAGCAACTAAGCTTCGGTCCGCACTTTCACTCGACTTGGGGTGGCTGGGGCAGTGCGTGGGTGGGGCGCTCGAAAGCCGGCTTTGATTTCACTTTCGGCTCGACTGCTGTTGACATTTGTCTCCTGACCCCCACTCGCCGCCCCTCAAGTGCGACTGTGTGTGGCATCAAACTAATTTTCCTCCTGTTTAGAGTTCTTGAACGTGACACAAGTCTGCACTTCGGCCAGGCCCCAACCAACCCGCCCCTTAGGGCCATTGCGATTGCTTTGGCTTCGACAGGCCTTCGACTGTCCTGGCCATTGGTTTTCAACTGATTTGAAATCATTTTAACCCAAATTGCATACAATCCAGTTTGCCAGGAGGCAGGCATTCCGACATCCTGTCCACACACACCCTACTGCCGGAGGGAGGATCTTCGGTTGTGTGTAATCGACGTGCGTGAGGCGTGTTGGTTTTCGGCTCAGGCCTTCCAGAGGCGTTGGGGTCCAGCCGCCCCGGTGGATTGCAAAAGCTCCAGAAACGGTGAGCCTGGAATCTAATCCAAGATCTGATTAGGTCAATGGATTAAGGTGATATGTCATTTAAAAAGAGAAAGGATTTTAAGAACCCTTCAGTAGCTTGAACGAAATTTAAGCCAAAATGAGATGAACTTTTCCTTCTCTTCCATTTTAATAACTTATTTTCCCTAATCTTGAATCAATGATTAAACAATTTTTATTGGCCTAAATATTTTTATCCGAATTCTAGCTTTAATATATTTTTTTCATATTACGCCCTTTTTTGCCAACTACCTGTGCCATTTTTTTCTGGAATTCATAATAACAGACTTTGGAGAAAAAAGGAGACTCTTAAAAGATTTGCATAGCCAACGAACTTTTCGCAACTACAATCATAATTACAAGTAGCCTTAGCCACCCCGACCCTGCCAGCATCATGCCCCCGCCGCACTGGGGCAAGAAACTTTTTACATTAACCAAAGTGCGGCTATTAAAAATTCATTAATTGCATGAAACTGCAAAAAGGCGCAACAGAGTCGGGCAGAAATTCGCGGGAAAAGTTTAATTGATTTGCGAGGGCCAAAATGGTAAAATAATTGATAGATAGACCAGAGGATTTGTCGAGTGGGCGACGGGTGGGCGGCGAAGAGCCAACCTTTAATGAGCATGCCCCGCAGCGAAAGTTGCAAAAAGTTTTGTTTATTGTATTTTCTGAAAAAATTTTTCATATTCTGTCCAGTACGCTTTCTATTAATTAGTAAAGTTTTGCCACAACGGTGGCAAATCAAATTTTTTGAAAATTGAATTTGCAATTCTGAATTGGAAATCCGGAAACCGGCAAATGAATTGCGAAAAAGTGGAAAACTTGTCTCGGACACAACCGGAGCCAGTATTACACATATTTCATCAACAATTTGGACATCAAAGTAATTGAAAACGCATGCATCGATGATGGCGGAAAGCGTATTGCAATTTTGTGTGTTGGCCAAAAGCATTTCAGTTGCCACGGGCAGTCGCAATATAAATCTATGATAGCCAGCTCGACCCACACCAGCCCAGGCCATGCTTTTCCAGGCCGAAATCCAAACGGGCATGAAATCCGAACCTGCCCCACACTTTTGACTGGCCAGTTTAATTACCATTTGGGGTGCAACGATGGGAAAATATGGAGAAAAGCATTTGGAAATTTTCAAGCATTTTCCTCTCCAATCGGGGGGAGTATCAGTGCGATAACCAATGCTATTTGGTAATGATCATCCTGTACCTGTTAGGTTTTTCATAAAACCCTTTGTTTCCACATCTTGGCTTTCAATTATGAGAGCTCCAGTCGAGTAACGTGTGTTTAGAATATATAATTGTCCTTTTGTCATATCTTCTCTTTGGGCATCTTGGCTATTTATTAGAGACCATTTTCCTTTAATGCATATTAAAAATATGAGCCTATTCAAAAATTTGTGAATTTTCAAACTGACAGTTAAGTAAAATTGATGACATGTTGGAAGTTAGTAAGTTGGGGAATCAAATATTTTCCGACTTCTATTGAAACTTTTATTGCGGATCCGAGATTCTCGAATAATCAAGACAAACGAAGGTCAAAGCACCATTGCTGGGTTTTGAATTATGCAAAATTGTACAATTATGTTAATTAATTGACGCAGACAGTCGGGAGCCCTCCCCCACCTAACGCCCCTTGGCCAATTAGCGCCATAAAACGCAGGCGAAGCGAGTGCCGAGGATTTTATTTTGGGCCACTGTGCGCAGAGCAGCGCCAGGAAAGACCGAAAAAATTATATAAGTGCCACGCCCCTGAGCGCGCTGCCACTTGTTAACCTTACATAATTAGCAACAAAAATGTTCGTTGTGTTTAGAACAAAAGCGCAGCGCATTGCAGAAATTTTCACAGGTCGTCCCTTTCGGCCTCCACCTCCATAAGGCCGCCAACTGGCTTTATTAATTTCATAATTCAGCAGCGGCAGCAGGAATAATGCGACTGGTGGGTGAAAAGTTGTAGCCCCTGTCTGGGCTTAATTATTGGAAAATTAATGAATCTGCCGTATTAGATGTTTTCATAATTCGTGTGTTCGCGCCGAGTTTGCTTTGCCAAAGCTTCGCATGATTAATGGTGTTGGGCGGAAAAACGTGGAGTTAACATTTTTAACAACTTCTTTGTGTAACCAAGAAGTCTCTTTTTAAAATTTTATGCCATCTTTAATGGAAATATTGCGAATAATTTTTCATATTTGCACCCATAGGAAGGGTTTTATACCCTAATTTTGTATAAAACAGTAGTATTTATTTATTTTAGGATGGTTTATGGTTAAAACTAAAAGTTAGCTAGGGGGTACACCTACACCGACTAGTGGTCTTCAGCTCATATCATAGAGTAGGGCAGATTAATATCATGTAAATAGTTTGTTATTTAACTATTAATCTGTTTTGTAAATGTACCCAATTACGGGTACAATTACGGGCTTGGGGGTTTTACGAGTTCGCATTTTGCATGAATGCAATATTTGGCAAAATAATACCAAATTTCAAAGGGATCGGCCGAATATATCCTATAACTGCCCTAAAACTAAACAAACGGAGATGACCCAACTTTCGTTCTTATGAAGGCAGAAAGTTGGGACAGATTCTATTTCAAACTTCGTACAGATTCTATTTTTGATCAGTTGATCCGTGCTACCAAATTTCATAACGATCGGCCGAATTGATTTTGTATTGTATTGCCCGAAGTTAGCTTTCCTTTCTCGTATTTTAATATTATATAATTTTTTGGAAAAGGTCAATGCAAGAAAAGCTAATCTTTTCCATGAAAGTTGTGCGAAAACCAAAAATATTGACAAGAATTATAAATAGGTATCTTGAATTGGTTTCCCACGGGACTTGAGTATTTTGAGTATTTTTATAGCAATAAATACATTCATAGTGTATATTTGCCGAAAGGTAGCCCACTTTCGTATGCACCACGAATTGTAAATATTTGCACTTGCAAATGACATTCAGGTGTGCAATCCCCCCACTATTTGGGGTTTTTTGTTCTTTGCCCTTTTGAACTTTTTTTTTCATCGTTCGCTGCTGAGGACAGTTTTATTTTTTGTTGTAGAAGTCCCCGAAACATATTGTGGGGTTTCGTGTACATTTCTCATAAATCGGCTTAAAACACAAATGCATAAAGGGAGCAGCAGCAGTGCATTTCTTTGCTCAGGGGTGCGTTCAGGGGTGCATCAGACATTATCCTGTGACCGACCTCGTGCCCCTTGGGGTCCAGGGGTCACATACGCTCGCCGTCTGCGCAAGCAATTTTACGGAGCCGGGGCCGTAAAGCTTTTCATATTTCACATTTCATTCCAACCGGAGGCGAACTGCACTGCCCTGAGATGCGACGTGGGAAGTTAAGTCAGCTTGACTTATTTTTAACGTCGTTAGGGAAAGCCCCACAATGGGTGTTATATGAGTTTGACTCCAGCTATTCTTACTGGGGACTAAGGATGTTGTTTCCATTTTGTGATCTATCAGTTATAAATAGTATCTATCAGTAGAGACAATGAAGACATGCAATGAAACAAGTTCTCTTAAAAAAACTGTATAGGACAAAATTAAAACCATAATAATTACATGTTCAGAGCTAGAAGGCTAGCACGACTTATGTTCTGAGGGGTATTGCCTGGTCGGAACATGTTCTTCCCCAGCCCCCAATTTATGTTATTTGTACTCCCACTGGCCACTTGTTGTGAGACGGCTGTGCTGCGTTGTTTTGCCTGTTGTCGCTGTCAGTGTCAGCCGCCGAGATTTATGAAGTGCAACATGCCAGTACTAAAGATTGAGGGAGAAAAAGATTGAATGCCATGCTAGGCGTGGGGCTGCCAGGGAACACATCTCTGACTGCAGGCAGACTGCGTCGCTATCCCTCTCTGAAGCCTGTGAAGGATTTGTTATTTAGAGGTTTTCAGATAGAGCCTTGGCCCAGTTTTTGAAAGAGCTGCGATTTATTTTCAATAGAAAGCGGGTCCTACTTTAAGATTTAGCCCCCGAAGTCGAATAAAAAGCTAACCAATGGAAAAAATGGTGAAATTATGCGCAAGCCGTGAGGGCGTAATCAGCGTTAATGGGGCAGTGAAAAGGGGTCAAAAGGATTCGCTTTTGCCGCTGATTTGGCCAAATTAATGCAATCTTCGCACACCCAATTTACTCTCTAATGATGACTAACTGGTTTTAAATTTTTAATTCACGCTAAAATCCTTTTCCGCTTTCTTTCAGCTCGGAACAATCCTCAGGACGATGCCGAGGTGATTGACGTTCCTTCGCGCCCGCAGCCGGATCCGAATTTCCATAATTTCCGCGGTGTCATCGATACGGGCTCCGGCTATCCTTTCCTCCAGTCGAATCCCTCGTCTTTCAACGAGGGCTTCTTCAACTCCTTCGATGGTAAGTTCTGTTCCAGCGTCACATGCGGCGTAAACGTGATGCGCCCTATAATTGCTTAAGCATTTTTAATGACCTTTTAATTAGACAGTATTTCATTTTTCCCAATAACCTGTGTGCATCGTAATGGCATGCTGTGATTGCATTTAATATCGTCATTATTTTCCGCTTAACGACTTTAAATAAATGATAGTTTCTTAGTCAAAAATTTAAAAACAAAAATATTTGTTTAATAAAGTTTACAAAATAGAGGGGTATTAAACACAGTTTGGTTATAAAATATCGCTTGGCTTAAACACACATCCCTTAGGTCTGGCCAATTAGCCAACTGTCCTCTGGGGGCTTTTTAAAGTTTCTCGTCCATCCGGCCCATCCGGCGGTGGGAGTGGAGCGAAAACAATTTATCAAAATATTATGTCAAGTTCTTGTAGACAGACAAAGTTTATTTATGCGCTTGTATATGCTTCCATATTTATGTTAAGGAGAGGATGGGGGCGGGGCGGAGTGGAGTAGGTCAAACCAGTCTGCTGACCATTAAAAGTGAAAAGTTTTGCGCCTCGTCTTGCCAATTTCTGCTTAACTAAGACGTCGCAGATGACTACGATGTGGCCGAAGCATCATAAATCTTATCCTAATACGTTCGAGGGTCTAGGATAAAAACTTCCCAAAGCCCCTGGCATTGTATATGCATAAAAGTTATTTTATTCCTTGTTGTTTTACTTTTTACTTTTTGGCGAGGGGGTCAACGAGATAACGAAGCGTAGAAAATGGCATCTAGAGAGTTGGGAGATGCGGCTGCTGGCAAAGTTTCGGTTAGCGCATTATTTTGATTGAGAGCAAAGTCTTGTGTTCTTAGATAAACTCGAAAACTGAACGATGTACTTTCGTTTTATATTGAAATACATTCGCTGAGAGGGTATATGAGCTCTTAAGTTTATCGGGCAACGTTTCAGAATGAGTACATTGGCCAACAAACGCAAACTATTTTACACACCGACTTAAGCGAATTAAGATGCAACCAGCACATGAACGGGTGACAAACGACAATCAACAGGCAGGCCAAACAAAGTCGTAAAACAATGCGGTCAAGTATTTATGACAAGGTTGAAGAGAATAGAAAATTCCAAGATAGAAGTCTTGAAAAGGCCAATAGAACTGAGTCATGGGTCATCAGTTGGCGAAAAGAAATGGGCGGCATCCGGGGGTCTTAAGAAGTGCAGACAAGACAATGACAAGATGCCGGCGACACGGAATGCTTTTTAGTGCGTTCACGGATTAGGGATTTTCAAGCTGAAAAATACATTAGACTGGAATGTCTCAGTAAGAGGAATTCACTATTGGTCTAGCCTTCATACCACGGGCAGCTGCAGTCTTTCCCACGGAGAAGCCTTCTAGACACCTCCCATTACTTTAGCAAATGCTTTAAAAGTTTTTAGTAGAGGGTAATAAAACGCTTATGATATATTTTCAAGATCTGTTCCGTCGCCTGCGTACTCGTCTCTGGCCTGTGATTGGAAGCGATTCCGGCGAAGACGGAGCTGCTGCGGGCACCGATGATTCCAGCGATGACTCTGGATCTGGCTTCGCCTTCGGTCTGCGGCCCCTAATTCCTATTCCAAGGATCCCTCTGAGCACCGAGAATGGCAACACGACTTCCACTGTCAAGGTAATGAAAATCCTTTCCCGATTAGTTGGGTTGAGTTGGCTTTCTACTAATTGATTGAGCTTTATTAGGTTGTCGACGGCCACAAGGTGGAGATCAATGAGACCACCTATGGGGACACCAACAGCATCTTCAAGCTGCGTGTGGTGAACGTGCGTCCCCTGGACAGCGGCGAGGAGGTGGCCGAGGGAGTGCACTCCGACGGAGGCAAGTTCCTGCCCGCGGCGGCTGCCGGACCTTCCACCACCTCTGGCCCACCCACCAAGGGCGGAGAATTCGACGATGAGGTGGAGGAGGGACGTCGCGAGCCGCTGGAGAAGCAGCCCCGGGAGAACGAGGTCCGCGACATTGACGAGCCCCAGGTATAAACTATTTTCGAATGAAATACGAACAAACTCTAACCAGGATATGCTTCGAAAGCGCCATACTAACCGTTTGAAAATATTAAACTGTATATTGAGAACTTTATAAAAACTTGTAATATATCTATACAATATTTTCTAATATTTTTTTAATAAAGTTTTGCATAAACTAAACTATTAAGCCTGTACATATGTATATACTCTACTCTACCCTTAATATGCGAATGCCCGCTTTAGTTTCCCTACTAAAAATTAAACTTTGCCAATAAAAAAAGTATGATTTGGTGGTTTGGTTCGGCAGTGGTTGCCTATTATGTTTAAGCCTCTCTTTTGTTTTAAAGCTTTTGTTAACTTTTTACTCTATTTACTTGTAATTTAAGCTGCATTATTTTTGTAGTTGGTCTTGCTGTATAATTAAGTTTGATAATTTGTCAGGCCAATAATCTATTCAAACCGCAATCGTAAATATTTTATTAACACGACAAAATGTTTAATTGTACAATTAGATGCAGTTTTTTGATACTATTTTTTAATCGTTTCTGCAGTCATGTAATATGCATATTGGTTCATTGGATTTGCGAGTAATTCCATTTTTTCTGATTGCAGTGCGTCTAAATTAATAATGCAAACAAATTATAGTTTGTGGCCACAGAGCAAAAACACTGAGCAGAGTGAAACAAAATATTATGTAAATGTTTCGAAAAAATGCGAAAAAAGCTAATGGTGATGAGAGAAGAATATTTGCAACGTCGAGGAATTGACTGATATAATTATAAGCGAAAAAGCCAAATGACAGGCAGTTGGGAATATAGTATTTTTATATTTTCTTTTTTCGATATGCCTTTTTAAAATCTTTCGCTTGGTCCCCACTGTTTATTTCTAAAGTATATTCAATTTAAGCAGATACACAATGGATGATACATTTTATTAAATTTCACATCCAGATTTTACCCGGTACAAGTAGAATACATGGGTACATTGTAGTCGTGTGAATGTTGTAACGTGGAGAAGGAATCTTCTCCAACGTCTTAAAGTATAAATAATCATCAACAGCCGAGTCAATATAGCCAAGCTTTCTTCCGCTCACATAAATTTCGAATTTCTGTAGCCCCAGTAATGGAAGGTTTTTGAAAAACTTTTGATGCCAAATTATTTCTATACTTATCTGAGAAACAAATTCTATCCAATTCGGCCGATGTTTAGAGAAGATAAGCCCATATCACATATATAATTTCCCATACAAACGGGCTACAACTTTGAACGCGTGTATCTGGAAGGTTATAAAAGATAGAGATGACCGATTTTGGATCTTGGACTGGTATGGTATCCACGCAGATCAAGTTTGTGTGAAAATTTTTCCAAGCCGATATCCACCCCAAAAACGGAAATCTGGTTGTAGCGCGAAACTGTTCCAATGGTTAATCTACACCTCGAATCAAAAATCAGCCAAATAGGAAACTTTTTAGAGGAGCTATAGACTTTTTAGTCAGGTTAATATGGTATGACCGGTATTTCTTTTGCCAAGCGCAAAAGTGTGTGGCAGAGATAAGTACCGGGTATAATATAGTCGGAAAACTTGAATTATGGCCGTCCTCTCTGGTTTTTTCTCTATTTCTCAATCGGGTTACAGATGTTACCTTCCGCCCAAAGCTGCATGCATCACACGCGCCAATTTTCCTTCGTGTTTTTGCTGAAAGTCCATTAATTACTTTTAGGCCATAATAAAAATTAATTTTTATTAAAAGTCACACGCTCCGGCTCGCATAAATCCTTGTCTTGAGCGGTGGACCGCCCCTTTGGCGGGGCGTGCCAGGTGGGTCGGAGGAAGGCAGGCTCGTATTTATGGGAATTTATTGTGGCGAAATCGACGAGTGCCGGTTGGATAAATTTTTTGTTGCTCGGCGCGAGCTGCATAAATCAGCGAGAAATTAATAAATGACCGTGCAACAAAAAGCTGGCCCGTGCAGTAAAGCGCAATTATTAACAACTTTAAGGTTGTAAGTGACATGTCAACGTTTAAATACGCAATTTAAATTTAAATAATGCCAGCGGTGACATTTCTGTATCCGCAGCGGAAGCAGAAGAAAATAAAATGCAAACTATTCGCACAAGTTGCGAATTTCATTCGATTTGTTATGTTTTCATTTTGGCTTTTTTTATTTTTTGTGTTCCAAACTTTATTTTCCATCTCTCGCGGATATTGAAAGTTGTGGTCGATGTTTGGGGAATGAGGGTTAGGTAGGGGACAGGGGAAGGCCTGGCTTCTCATGCATTTATTTGAATTTAATATTCATGGTTATAAATATTAATACTCGCGGAAGGAAGGTGGCGAAAGAGGGTGATAACTTCCCCGCCAGCTGCACTGAAATATTGCAAAATGGTTGAAAGCTGTTAAACAATTTGGCGATTGAAGCTCTGGCAAAAAACGCACACTCGGCTGGGCGTTTTATTTATATTTTTCCAATTGCAAAAAATATTCCTGCAAATGCATATAATTCGCCTTTATGAATTGGTGAGCTTTTCATAACTTTTGCTTACATGACTTTGTGCACTCGCTTCAAACTGAAAACTGAACAACCAAGATGCTCAATGGAAGTCCTTTGAGCATGAAATGGCTTTTCCACATTTCAATTCAAGTATTTTATTTAATTATGCGTATGACCCATTTTTTGTACATTTTTATACTATACTCACTAGTCATACTATGGTATAGTATGGTAAATGTTATTGCTGACAAATGCTGACAATAAAGTTCGCTAATTTCTATAAATTCTTTAAAAGCATGAAATTAATTATAAAAAATTATCATATATACATTTAATACATTTTTAAAACCAACTAAACAAAATAGATTGAATCACCTGAAATATACCAAAATGTACCATAGTAGCAAATCTGTTGAGGCTTGCCCGAGGAATTCACAAAATCTCTCAATCACCTCGAATTCTTCTAAATTTCCCCAGAAACAGAGATCGTGAGTCAGTCATCTGCATAATTACCTTGAGTATTCTATATTATTTATCATTTCTTCCGCTTGGTGGCAAATAATCTTAAATAACAACCTCTGAGCCGAATGACCGAAGCGCGTAAAAATAAATAAGTGTGCAAAACTGTTGTATTATTAATGTAAATTTCTCAGAAATTTCTAACGAGCGAAAAGTGAATTTGGACTACAATCGGTGAGGGGCGATCGGAGCTTGTGACGTCACATGAAGGCGATGGCCTCCAAGGGGGGTGTGAGTGAGATGAATGCTGATTTACCAGCAACGAAGGTGAATCACGAGTGGGGCAACGCGCGACCGGAGATAATGAATGGAATCTAAAGAGCGCCGGTGACTGTGGGAGGGCTTTAACAGCGGAAGAGAAGATTTCTGTTAAGTCTCCAAAGCCCCTGTTGATATTTTTGTCTTGTTTCTCCGCTTTGGAAGTGAATAATCTTATTTTCTGAATTTTTTTCTATAAAAACGTAAGCCTAGCTTGAATGAAGCTCAGTCAAATCGGCAAAGACAACGGAAATAAGACCTAAAATTGTGAGTTATGAAAGGGGTATTGGAAATCAAACAAAATCATTTATCACGAAAGTCTTTAAAAATAAACTCTACTGAGTAGTGTAAAAAACACATATAAAGAAAAACCTTTGAATTTTCTGCTTTAAATCGCATGCGATATTGTTAATATAGACTAAAATATATAAAGCTTAATAACTTCCAGCCGCACAAGGAAACTAATTATTAAAAATTGGTCTCATTATAATCCAATAGTACATTAATATATCTCTCTATTTAATTTATTTCGCACTTCCGCACACTAATGCACTCGCAACTCATGTCACCAACACACCCCAACAACACGATGCACAGTCCACCACAACAACAACACCCACAAGTTATACAACAAAATTTGCCACCAACTCACCCGCAGACTTGGAATCGGAAGCCACCGATATAAGCGAAGATATAGCGGAGGCCACCTCTCAGAACCAAAAAACAATCATGGACCCTCTTCTCGAAATGACACAAAAGGAAGTCGAACGGATGCAAGGTGAAGGAGTGGAGCAGGATCACGAGGACAAGGCGTCCTTGGAGATGAAGCAGAAGAAAGAGCGAGAGGAGTTCGATTCGTCAGATGATGAAGATGCCGAGGCCACAACCCCAGTTGAAATGGGCGATGCCTTCAACGAGGAGTGGGCTGAGTTTGACCAGGAAGGAGATCAGGACCAGGATCACGAGCTGGATATCGAAGCTGATGCTGGGAATGAGCTGAACAACGAAATCGACATTGAGGAGAATTTCGTGCCCGTTGACCTCTCCAATGACATAGCTGTCAACGATTTTGCTGCCGCTGACCCAGACTTCCCACTGAATCCTGATGCTGAGATCATTGTGGGTCCCGCTGTAGGCCGGACTATGCCCATGTTTGAGAAGCTCTCTCTGGGAGAGGCTTCCAAATAGGCAGGGATGTCCCCCATTAGCTATGTCGTTAGTCCTAAGACGCTAGTTTTAAGTCACGGATATCTCTGGGAGATCCAAAGCAATCGGATTTTGATTCGAAATCGTAATTTATCGTATTTATTTCGACCAACAGCGAGAATAAGGCGTGCGTATGAAACGCATGGAAGAATATTTATTGCCAAACAAAAGTTTTTTAAAATAAACAGCTTAAAATTTAAAGAAATTTTGCGAAACTATAACTTTTTATTGGGAGGTAAGGAAGGAAAGAAACCATTATTTATTTTTTCACCCATTTCCGTTTAGTTTAGGCTTTTGAATAAATTAATTAACTTATTATCAATTAGTACTCTAGATAACGCAGATCAACAGATTTATTCATCTTGACGGCTGCAGTGATTTATATAGGCTCAATAAAAATGAATTGAACCCGTCCATACAGCAATTAAAAGCGTGCAACATATTTTCAGCCTTTTATTAAATTCCAACTGGCCGATAGAGATAGGCTTGATTTAAATCGATCCATAGGCATTGTATGCCTCATTAGTTCTTTGTGCAATAAAAAACAGCCTAGTTAATTATTTTTTCCATACTAGTATTGGGGTAATTAATTATGGTCAACTTATGGTTAACTTAATTGCCTGTTATTCTCTATCAAACAGAGCCTTGGAATTAAAAGCGTATTAATTACTGAACTAAAGGCTGAATGCGATTGTTGAATTAATAGTTTTCTATGTTATTTTCATAGTTAAATATTTATCATTGTCTTGTCTTGCATTGGGCATGCAAAAGTGACAAGTTAAAAGTCCATTTTTTTTAATGGAAAAAATATAAAATTTTTATTTGGCAAGCCCTAGTTGCATACCAAAGATCCATAGTATTGTAATATTTACACTGAATTGCAGATAAATGCGGTGGATTTGTTTGCATGTTCCAGCCAAAGTGATTATTCTGCGAATAAAGGATGCTACTGGTTTTCGAGTTCTCCGGCAGTGAGTGGGTGAAGAGCGTATCGGTAATTATGGCTCCCGTCCTCTCCAATTGTATACATATCTTCTGCTCTGGACGTTACGGATTGCAGATCCTTTCAAACACTCCTCTCCCACCTGTCTGCCCGATGGTTTATTTCCCCACACACACCTGTCTTTATCCTTTGTGTATTTGCTTTGGCTGTTGCACTGATTGCAACTTTTCAATTTGTATTTACAAAAGCGAAACAATGCAAGGCATATAAATGTGAAAATGTTGATATGCACAGAAGCATATCTACCTGTCTGGTCCGATGGTTGAGTAAATTTAAGCAGTAAACACAACGAAATCCTTTAGATATTTAATTACTTATACACTTACTATGTGGTCCAAGAATCCTTTAACAGAGCTGCTTTTGAATTGAGGGGCAGCCTAAATCTAAAATTTATTAATTGATTTTCCAACATAATTACTTAACTTTCTTGCTTTATAACAAATCTCATTTAATTTAACTCGTTCGGAATTATGTATCTTAAAGTTCTTTAGACACAGGGACGGGCACATGTTTAGTAAAGGACACTCAAGTATCAATAATGTTTGAAAAAATATTAATTAAGAGTAAATAAATTTTTAAGCTCCTTTGTTTTATTATTAAACTCAAATTCCATAAACCAAGTAATCTAAAAAAACTAGGAAACCGTTTTACAATATTAAGTAACCGTTTTTTGAGTTCATCTTCTAGGTCTTTCCTTTTCAACCCGTTTCAAAATATCGTCCATATTCGTAATCAACTGTTCCAATATCTCCTCCAGCAGACCCACTCGATTAGTTAGACTAAAATTAGTTACATTATAACATTTTCAACGGTTAATTCAACTCAAAATTACTTACCGAACCATATCTGGATTTTCATTCGGCGGAATTTCTTGGAAATACTTGGCTCTGCAAAATGTGTTGAAAGATGAAAGTCGGGTTTAAATTACTTAAGTTAAAAACAAAAAAAGTAAAGCTAACTTCTGGCGGAGACGAAGATGATATATTCTTGAAGTTATGATCGAATATCTTCAACACTGTGTTGCACACTTTTGGCCAAAATTATAATACCCTCTGCAAGGGTATAAAAAAGTTACTTACTGGGCAGGAGTCATGTTACTGCGCAATTCATAGGGCTCTTCATGGGTGACCTCGGCTTCCCGATTGGGATCTAGTTCTTCCTCGGGGGTTCCTTGGGCTCGTACCCGCCGTTTGCGACCACAATGTGTGATCCAATAAAGAAGTCCAGTCAGTTTCTTGTAGATGTACGAACCCAAGTGACTGCGCCCCTGAGTGATCTCGCTCTTCACCGAGTTGTAGGTCTCCATTATAATGGCCAAGAACATGTTCTTTTTGGGAAATATGAATATAATACACATGATCGATTCCCCCTCAAGATTTTAAGAAGCATTTGAACTTACCAATAGAATAAAGAAGACAAGCAGAATGTATGTAAGGAAGTAAATGGGACCCAAAACTCTGTTGGCCTGCTCAATGAGGTTGTACTGAAAGTCGCCCAAAATCATTCTTATCATGGTCAGAATGGACGTTATAAAATTTCGGAAATCGGGGTGTTTGGTGCCAAATAGTAGAAGGCCTAACTGGGCATAGGCCAAAAAGACTATGCCGAACATTAGACTGAAACCAGCCAAGTCCTTGGAGCACTAAAAGGTGCAAGAAAATGCTATTATATTTCTTCTATTATGTTAACTTCTTCAGAGACTTACCCGCTTCAGTGTTGTTGTAAATTGCACAAGTGTTTTGTTAAAGCTGATAAACTTGAAAATTTTAATCCAGACGAGAAAGGCCAGTATGGCCATCATGTCCACGTAGATGATGTTCCAAAAACAGAGAACGTCCAGGCTTTGGTAGGTCAATTGGGTCGTGGCCTTGTAGGTAACCGACTTGACCTTAAATGTGTGCCATATGTTGTAGACTAAAGCAAGGTAACAAAGCTATAAAAAAAAACGTTAAATTATTGCTAAAATAGACGCATTGGTATTGTAAAATACCAAAAGAATCAGGCAATCGAGGACGTTCAACATGGAAGTGAAGTAATTCTTGGCGCCGGACTTGCGTATTTCGTTGATCTCATAGATGGTATAGTACACAATCATGATGTACCAGAAGATATAAATTACCGTCATTATCAGGTTGCGTTCCGTGAAAAAGGAAAATTGCTTGACAGCTTGAAGTTGAGCCTGGGGTATAACGCCTCCCGTGGGAGGGATCTCTGCAATGAACCTACAAAAATCTAGTTTAAAAGAATCGCTCTTATTAGAAACTTCTACCCACTTGACGCTTTGAAATATGTCCGTGTTCTCGTTGTACAAATTAAACTCGACCAGGCACAGCCTGGATCCCCGGTCCAGCCAGTGTGTGTTCTGAAGATCTGTTATTATCTTTAGGTTGTCTTCCTTTTCGAATGTCAAGTCCACCACGTAGCCGCCGCTGCGGTAGAAAGCTAATACTGTCCAAATCGGAGTAGAGTCCAGGTCATTCATTGATCTGTAGGGCGATCCCTTGTAGTTATTCGTTCGTTCTTCTGTTCCGGAGGAGTAAGCAGCATAGCACGTGTTGAAGTATCGAATGAAAGCGTCATTGACGTAGCAGCTGTCTTTTTTGACCCGAATCTGTCGGATGCGAGGGGGTCCTAGCAACAAGTTCTCGTGAAGAAATACACGACCCTGCATAGAAAAGCAACGCTCATGGTAAAACGCTCTCTTAAAAATATTTAAAAATTGTTACCGTTAGATGATGGGTTGGTATGACATTAGGTTCAGTTTTCTTATCGTCCGATTTCTCGGAACCTTCCTCGGAGGCGTCAGACGCCTCGGGACTCGCTTGCCGGGCCTTCCTTTTGAATTTTCGCAGCTGGTCCCAATTCTCATCCAGGAGTCCGTTGGGATCTCGGATCCTATATCGCATTCTGTCTTCAGGAGTTTCCTCTGGCGTTTCCTCTGGCGTCTCTTCATCGGGTACCTTTTGCTCGTCTGGCGTTTGGGGGGCCGGTTTGGGAGGTGGTTCGCCAGGATTATTGACGGTCATGTCGCCGTGCAAGGTGACCAGAAAGTTGTAGACTAGGTAATCCCACCAGTCGGGCACCGTGATCAGCTTCTCAAAGGAAACTGTCACCGAGGGGGCCACCACCAGTTCTCGGGTAGTGAAGAGCTTTTTCATTGTATCATTAAAGTAGAACATGTACGAGTGGCGCACAGATAGAGTGACTAAAATATGTAATATTCGTTATATGCATTGAAGATATTATGGTCTTTACTATCAAGTTATGTAATAGTTCTTAAATAACTTCACTGGCTAAAAAAATATATTCTTACCCAATGAGGTGAGCACCAGAAAAATTATAAATACTGCAAACTCCATAAGGGCATCCCGCACTTCCTCATCTGTCGTGTAGAGAATCCGGGTGGTCTTAGCCTTATTTTGAACACCCGAAGCCCCCACAGATCGCCGTTCCCCGGCTGACCGCTCTGGGGACTGCCGTTCTTGGGGTCGCTTGTCCACTGGCGACGATCTATCACCGCCGGATTGCAATGAGGCTGATCGGGCTCCCTTTGGAGGTGACTTGGGTGGCTCCTTCGGTTTCTTCTTGAAAATATTGAATGTGGTAGATTTGGTTTCTCCAGATGCCGCCACTCCAAATGGAACTTGGGCTGAGGTCGATGGAACCGCCTCCTGGCCAGTACCCCGCGGACTTTCCTTTCCAGTCACCGCTAAGCCAACAACCTTTTTAATTGCCGGCGGGGACTGAGTCGACGTCGCAGGGAGCGGGGAAGTCGATCTGGCCACGGTTTGAAAGGGCGGTCTTGGAGATGGTGAAGCCCCAAAGTCCCTAACATGCCTCCGGGTCTGCGGCGATGTACCGGTATCTATAACCAAACCAGTGGCCGATGCACTTCGATCTCTTATTGTTACTCGACGAGGTGGAGAAGCCCCTGAATCAGGAGGCTTGCCTGGTGGCGATCCATCGCCATCCCTTTTGGTTGGTTGTAGCTTTTGAATTGGAGCCGCCGACAGTGGGGAGGTCCCGCGCACGACTTGGCGGGCAGCTGGCTTTTCGGCTTCTTCAGATTGTTGCGCGTCAGTACCTTTTATAATGCGCCTTGCGGGAGGAGTTGGTGGTTGTTTCCGGGGGGAGCCACTGCCGCCTGCAGTGCCGCGGGGCGAGGCGGGTGGAAGTGACCTAGGGGAATGGGTCTTTTGGCCTTCCTGACCCTCCTTGTCCATTGGCTTACAGTTTTTTTGCAGCTAAAACCAAAAGCAATATTTCAAGTGAATTATTATAGTACAGGATCCACGACAGACTGAAAAATGTTGGAAGCTGACCCCAACGACAGGCACGTTTCTTGAAGTTTAAATAATGCTTACTTGGACGGCAGTGCTATAGTGATGCGATACAGTAATGTCAACAACTATTAAACAGTGCTCAACAAAAATCTAGAATCTAGAATCTAGATAGACAGACTTATGAAAAGGATCATCAATCCACTTTTGAGTGGTCTGGTTGAGATCAGTCCATCAGTGATCAAATCTTGATCAGCACCAACAAATTTTTTTGTAGAAGATCTTTATAGCATTCACTAAAGATCGTGTTCTATTTCAATTCTTTTATACTTCTATTATATTTTTATTGCTCTTTCAAAATTAATTGTTTTTGATTTAAATGATTGTCGGGTCAGGCAGCAGCCCACCGGTGTAATTTTAATGTTTAAATATGTTAGCGTAATGTTTGGTAATGTTGATTTATTAGGCTTAAGTTTATACAAAAGCTAGTTGATCGCAAGCCGACTCTCTCTCGGCCGCTCGACTCAACGGACTTTCTTTAGAGAGTTTTAGCTCGGCAATGTCTAGGTCGGGCCGCCCTCTCCACTTTCGAGAGCTTTAGCTCGAGGTGACTTGTCGGGCCGCCCTCTCTGTGTATATTACTTTCGTCCCTGCATGCACCATAAGCTGGTCTATCTGCGGATCATCCAGTTTCATCTGCATGCAGAAATAAACATCATTTATAACGTTCATACTAAATTCAAATTCGTCTTTTTATTTACGGCATTGAAAACGCTCAATGACCAAATTAAATGATTTCCCATGGCGGTATGAAATTTTCATATCTTTAAAAAGTTAAATAAGACAGTGTGAAAAAAAAAGTGTGAAAGATCTATATTAAAGTCATATATCTCTATAGTCTGTTTGACGCAAGGAATACCCAAACATCGGTCTATTGAGATTAGCGTGGAGGTCAGTTTGCATCCCTAAGTAAATTTTAGCGTTTTTAGCCATTTCCCCAAAACCCGGCAGCACTGATACCTCTCCCACCTGAGCAATGCAGAAGGAAACAAAGTTCCCAGACAACATCTGCGCATTCGGCGACTCCGTGCATATGCATTTTTTATGCGTTAACACCAACATTTGAATTGCAACTTGGAGGTGGTGGGAAAACAGGCTTAGATGGAGTCTGGAGCAGCAGAAGCCAGTAAAGGATGCTTTTGATTTATGGCAGTCGTTGTTGGGTCTTGCGCATCCTTCCCCTCCGATCGGCGGCAGTTGAGTTGTCAGTTGGCACATAAAGAATGCATGTACAATAGCGAAAATGTGATAAGATCCCACTCAACGAGCGCTTCACGGGATTCCAGAGGGATTCGTAGGAGTATGACTTCCAAGTGACTTCCTTTAAGTCGATTAGCGGAGCTTAGTTGTAAGCCAACCTGTTAAAGGCTTGCTCCAATTTAATTAAAGTCTACGCGCTCCTTCATCAACCAATAAAATACTCTTTTATTATTTTATAAATATTTATTTTGTTTTCGAAATTTTAAAAACCATTAGATGCCGCCTTATTTCATGTGCTTGAGCCTTTAATAAAAAGTACATTTTGCATATATTGCACTCCAAGTTTGAATTGGGTTTGAATTTCAAAATACAATTCTTCTTTCAACATCAAGTGCAGTTTAAGTACAGATTTAACAAAATATGTTTGCTTTTAACCAATAGATGCCACAGGTCGGCGTAGTATGAAATAGTTTATAACTATCAATGACTATGAAATAAACTTCAAGTAAGATTGAAGTTTGCAATCCCAGAAGATGTATCTTTTGTGACTAATTAGTTTAAAGTTTTCTTTAGCTAATCGTATTTTTAGTTGATGTCGCTTGTCTTAGGTTTTCTTAACAGACTTCTCTAGAAAGTATTATAGTATTATGTAGTATAGTGTTTGTTATTAGTGTATTAACTATCCCTTTGAATGTCTCACTACGAACGGAATTTCGAATGTTTTTGTTGGTTGTGCCCCACTAATTTTACATAGTTCTTGTATATAGTTATTTCCCTAACTCTTATATAACTTAGCATTATTTTTCTAAATTGTTTCGTTACATTTGTGCAATTTTAACTTGTTTCTTCTGGGTTGGGTTGTATTCTTTTTCCATTTTTGCTTAACTATTTGGCTTTGAAAAATACTTTGGCGCCACAAATCGGCTTCAAATTGCTGGACTTTGTTTTTTGGTTTTTAAATGTAGAGTGTGCTTGCCGACCACGTTGAAAAGTTGGGTTGATTTAATGAAAATGGCTGATGGTTTTCAGCAAATGTGATTACAATGATGCAACTTTTAAGCTACTTCTTTGGTTGGATTGGTTTGCGGTTCGTTTGTGCACTCGAGAACATCATTTGTAAGCTATTTATTTTTAGATTTGTGATTACTTATCAGATACATTTTTGTAATTGGTCCTTTGGTTTCAGAACATTTATTAAAAGGCACAATTGTGTTAAGCTATAGTTTCATCCATTTCTGTGATTAGTTTTCATGTGGTGCTTGGGTGTGCCAGCGTTCGGCCACGCCAAATCCAGCTCATCTAGTACGGCTTGGCCGCATCCTTGGAACGTTTTAGTTGGACCTTCAACCGCTTGGTCCCGATCTGAAATCCGTGCATCGCCTGGATGGCCGCGTTGGCTGAATGTGGATTGTCGTACGAGACGAACCCGAAGCACTTGGACAGGTTGGTCTGCTTGTCGATGAACACCTTGGCCGACAGGACATTGCCGAAGGGCAGAAATGTCGATGCGAGATCAGTGTCTATGAACTCCTGAGGTAAGTGATAAATGAATAGATTGCTGCCGTCGGGTCCTGAAGGGGGAAGTTAAAGACATAGTTAGTTGAGCCGCTTATCAAAAGTCATTTTCAAGAACATGTATTTTTTGCATGCATGGAATGCGCATGTAATTTTATTTTAAATATTTTTGTCAATATTTACCCTCGATCTGCTTACCAGCCACTCCCGCAGCTGCTGCTTGTATGGCGCTGGCGGTTAGGGGCTGAGCTGTGGCTCCGTAGGCGGCTCCATTCGTCAGACCACTCAGGGAGGTGGTGTAGGGATCGGCAGCGCTTGTGTGCCCTAGAACGGGGGGATACCACGTTAACATAGTGTTCAACCTTCCGCCAAACATTACTAATGGTTGTAATACTACATTGGTACTGAATCCACCCGAAAACGAACACTCACAAGAAGGGGTAGGAAGAAACATACAATGGAAGACATAGACACACTCACACAGAAACGAAATAGATATCCTTTAATATAAAGAATAAAAAATTCAAAATCGGAACAATAAACGAGCACAAGTTGAGTTAACGCATATGAGATTTGGCCCTTGGTTTATTATTATTTTTGGCACTCCCCTCCACACTCGGTGCTCCGAAATTTTATGCTTTCTTTCTTTTATCCTTTATTGCTTTGGTCCTGGCCCTTTCATTATTAAATTTTATATTTTCATTTATTTGGATTTTCTCTTTTGTTTGTGTATCACGAAAAAATTTGTTAGCCTTTGTTGTTTGGGCTCTCCGCGTGGCGCCAGTTTTTTAATTGAGCCTGCCGTCCCTGCCCCAAACATTTCGCGGCATCCTCCGGAGCTGGCTTTGTGCAATGCCCTATATTTTTTATGCTTTCCATAATCTACTAGAAATTTATTACATTCTTTGGCTTTTATTTTTTTTATTTGAGTTTGCGACGAATTAAAATTGCTCACATGTGTAAGTTTAGTAAATTGTGCATTTTTGCTTTGAATTTCCCCAAAGTTGCTAATTGGAAAGCTAATTGCAATCAAGATTGATTGATTTTGTTTTCGAACAAATTGTTTTCTACCATCCACTAACTTTTTCGGAGTAGGCAAGGAAAAATATAGCCTAAATTTCAGCGCATTAAAATAAAGGAAAAAATTAAAACGCAGTTTAGCAATTATTTGGGAATCATGCTCCCTAATATGCTAACCAATCTATGTTGTCCTATAAAAATTCCACCCATATTCCGGATATTTCTCTTCTTCGTTTATTAAAATTTGTTTTCCTTGTTTTATTTTTCAAATCCAATCAACGGCGGCGAATAGTCGACTAAAATTGCCGGCAGTCGTTTTCGATTTTTGTACTTTTTGTAAAAATTATGTAAAAACTTTTCTACTCTGATTATTTTCAATATTTGTAGTTCCTTTTGTTAAAATATCTATTTTATTGACAGAGATGGGCAAACAGTATAAACACAAACACAAAAAGAATAGATACTGAGTTTGGCGATGCAAGTCCAATATTTAAGGAAACTTTAAATATTAGTTCTATTATTGGATTTGAAGTAAGAGGGACATAGAAAACGTATTGGAGTAGTGGCTCTTTCTTCACCTACCACTTATTATATAATATAGTATTATTTTAAAAGCGTGAATTAAACTCTTTTTTTAATTGTTGTAGGATATTTTGTGTAGGGTTTCTAGAAATTGAAGCTGCAAGCGAAATTGCAGGCAGAACTGGATTATGTTAGTTTGGAAAAAAATAGTTAGTAATCAAGGTAAGGTGTCGGAGGTATACCTCCGATTTAGTTATGTTAGGAAACAATCCAAAACGAAATAAACAATAACACAAAACACAGAAACAAAAGTTTGGTACAACCACCCAACACCCAGGCACACAATTAAGGCACATATGTGTAGGACGCACTAAACTAAAATATATTTCTATGCGTTTGGAAAGAATATAAAGCTTCCCTAAGAAATACATATTTCTTAAAGGATAATTATTTTGGGGAAACCTTTTGTAAATATTGTAGTCTGAAAATGGGTTCTTTTTAAAGTTTACTTACACAGCGCATTTAGGGCAAGCGTCTGGGAGCTGGCCCCTGGCTGGGTGGGCGTCGCCGTGTGACCCATCAGCTGCGGCATGCTGAAGGCCGTCGCCGGCGGTGCGGCAGCATAGGCCATTCTCTGGAGGTGCAGGCTGGCGGTGGTGCTGCCGTTGTGGTTGTTTCCGTTGCTGGTGGTGTTGTTGAATTTGGGGTGGTGGGGGGCGTTGGCGGTGGTGGCGATGGTGAGCGGATGGTGGGCGGTGGGTGTGGCTAGCAGGGTTACCAGATTCTGCATAGACAGGGATGGAGGGGCGAGCAGTCCAGTGCCAGGAGCATGCCCGGCGGCAGTGATCCCGCCGCTGCCGCTGCCGCAGCCACCGCCGCCGCCTGCTGGTGGTGCGGATGGGGATGCGGATGGTGGTGCGCCGCCGCTGCCGCCAAGTGTGTGAGGTGTTGCTGATGCGGCTGCTGCTGAGGCGGCAGCGGCGGCGGCTGAGGCAACCGATAGAGATGCTGTTGATGCGGCGCCGCCGCCGGCGAGACCGTGCTGGCTGTGGTGGGCACTGTTTTCCGGTGGGTGGTGGAAATTTAGTCCTGATTTTCCATAGTTATTTTTTGTTTTGGTTTTTTGTTTTGTACAGTTTTGAGTTGATTGGTTTATGGTTTAAGGTTTGGTTGAGTTGGTTGATTGATTGTTTTTGTTTTTTTTTGTACATGACCACAGAGTCAATCATAGACATACCAAATAATGTTCAACGAATATTTATATATAAAAAACATAGAAGAAAACACACACCCAATTGGATTATTTACATTTACAAAAATTATAAAAATTAATTTCAATTTAATTTTTTGTTTTTTGTTCGAAACCGATTCGATAAAATTTATGTAAATATGTAAACATACAAATCATAACAAATAAAATAAGGAAAAATAATAAAACAAAACGGTAAAACAAAAACAAAATGAAAATGGGCGACATAAAATGAAAGAAAAGATAAATAAAAAATTATAAATAAAATAAAAATTAAAAAGGCATAAGAGAATCAAATAAAATCTTAATCTTAACAATAATGTGGGGATGGAAAAAAATAAATAAATAAAAATGTTACAACGGGACTACTAAATTGTAAATAAAAAGAATTGCATAATGCGGGGATGCAGGTATAAGATAATCCAAAAAATAAAACAAAAAATAATACATTCAAACGTAAAATACATAAATTCATTTCAATCATATGCAGTTAGGATAAACTTAATTAAATTATGTAAATTAATTGAATCAAGTAACTTAATGTAGCTGAGAATGCTGCGGGAAGGAAACGGGAAGTGCAGTGCATCCGCTTCCGGTTTCCGTTCCCCTTGTTTCAAGCTGCTCTTATGCTGCATACTTGGCGGCGCTGGCAAAAAAAGATTGAAAGCTTTCTACACAAAACAGGAATCCTAGGGACACACAGAACACGAGTGAAGGAGCCAGGAAACGAGAAAGAGTGAGGGGTGTGAGAGTAAGAAAGAGTCAGAGACAGACAGAGAAAGACAGAGAGAGAGAGATAGAGTGTGAGTGCAGGTGCGAGGGACAAAGATGAATAGAAACATTCACATAAGAAGCCGGTTCATTGTCTAGCATATTTAAAGAATATTCTTGGAATTACATCCTTTGAATGAGCTGCCAGTGTGTGACTCTAAACGTGTATAGTTCCTCTGTCCTGTGGCGATGCCCATACTTGCGCACCCCCTCCCTTTTTGTGGGCATAATAAAACTTTAAGTGTTCTCACCTGCGGACAACTCCGGGTTGTTGCTGTTGCCACATTGGAATTGCATTTGTTTACTTGCCAGACCCCCGGCTATTGGGACAGCCTCTTACTATATCGTATATATATTTAGTCCTTTCTGCCAGCTACCTTTGATGGTGCCTTTTCCCCCGGGGGCCTTTGGCAAGACTTATAAAAATTTCAAGTCGGAAAATGGGCAAGGCAACACACTGAAAATTCTAGACAAAGGCGTTTTTCCTTGGCTATTCCTTTGCGATTTTCTGGGAATTTTTTCCCAACTGTGCTTACAGTTATTCGGAGACTTTAACTGTTATTCTAACGCGGTTCATTCTTAAAATAATTGGCAAGTTTTTTAACGATTTCCCAGCCACTATTACATAAACTTGTTTTCTGCTCTCGCGTAACCTCAAATTGGTCAAATCTGCAAACGTTTTCGCTCCTGAAGAATCCACTTAACGGTTTCATTCGGCACTTAAATACAAAAAAATAGAAGAATTGGTACACAAAAATAAGGGAAACGAAGGAGCGTGCAGGACACGTTCCATACATTTGCTGGCCATCACTGTACGCAGTCGTTGGCTACCTCCCGCCCTTCCCAGCCGATTTTTCCTGGATCTGGCATTTAAAAACGTCATTTGTTATTCAAGTGGCATACGTCGTCGCTCTAAGTTCCCCTAACTGCCCAGCAGTGGCCCTCCTTTCCGCACTCACTGTCCGCTTACAGTTACTGCCGTCAGTCGGTGACCACCGTCTTCTTCTGTCACTATTCCTCGGGCATGCCCCTTTTGCCATAGCACTTGCTATGTGGATGTTGTATCTTTAAAGAATATATATAGAAGGATATTTTTGAAAATATTTTACAATCCGAATACCTAATAAAAAATACTAATTAGAATTATCAAATAAATATAGATTGGGTTGAAAGAGAATCTTTCCTGGCAGATTAATGCAAAAGTACTTTTAAAAAATGTATTTAATGTTTGCAAAAACCCGACCTTTTATTGATTTACGTTGACTTTGAATTAAAAATAAAAATGTTTCCTCGAGCACCATATTGACTCTGAGTGCCTTTGATTTCTGACTTCGCTTTGTCCGATTACATCACGCGCCGCCCCAACTTTGGTCGTCTGTGATTCCCCGTCCTATATTTTGTCCCCTGTTTGTTCAAGCGCCCGAGCTTGATTTGTTATGCGCAAAATGTCCACGTCCACGTCGAGACAGCCAGAAGTGGCGGGGATGGGCGGCTGTGGACGTTGGCGCTGGGGGCGTGGCACGTCGGACATTCTAATGAAGAGCCGTTGCATATGCAACACGTTTACACTGACGCCCAGTACGTGTGTTGAGCGAGCTGACTGCGAACCAGAAATCTGTGAGCCGGTCTGACCCATCATCCTCGCTCTCATCATCGTGTCATCCCCGTCATTGTCGTTGTCCACCTTTTAATCCTATTACAATGTTTTTGTTTTATTCATCAGGACCCTTTACTCGCTGGGCCTGGTGTCCTTCCTTTGCGCCATTATTTCCCTGACCTTTCCGTCATACTTCTGTCTCCCCGGCCTGCATTTATGCAAATTTTGTTGCTTAAATTGAAATTAATTATTTGACAGTTGTCGCCGTGCAGGGCAGTCTGGAAGGAAGGAAAGAAGGATGGAAGCCCCCAATATCCTTTTCATTTTGTTTTTCCCCTCAGTCGTAGCCCTAATCTCCCGTTTATAAATGAAAAAAAAAGCAAGCGTTTATCTTTGTTTTTTCTACATCTTTTCCATCAACTCTTGTTGAATCTTTAAATGGCCAACAACCGACTTCTGGGCCTTAAGCTATGGACTCCGGCTGTCACTTACTTTTGGTATTAAGAAACTTGTTTACAGCTGTAGCTCTCAAGCCCTACCTACCGGGAGCTCATTCCATAAATGCTTTTACGACCATCCCCCAGTTTCCTTTGATTCAGTGCAGGAATGCACACATATAGAGCTTTTGTTTTTATCGATTCAGCGATTTTACAAACGATAAAAAATAAAAATGAGTGAAAACAAAGGTGAAGTTAGGAATACAATTTTAGACACGCCGATTAAACTAAGCTTGGTGGAAACAAGTCCTTCGGGTGCAACAAGGAAAAAATAAGTAGCACACATAGATAAACGAGCAGTTGTGTAAAGGATACAAAGACATAAATACTCTGAATGAAAGGATACAGATAGAGAGAAATATAGGTACAGCGCTGTGAATTAATTCTGGGTCTGTGACGAACGAATCTAATTGGATTTGAACTGATCTTTTTTCGGGGAAAGGGTTTAGGGGTCGAAGGGGTAAAGGGCAGAACGGCGGACTCTAACTAATAAAACTAGGCCTTCTCCTACTGCTCGTCGCACTCACCTTGCAGGTAGTGGGCCGGGCTGAGTCCGTAGCCGTGCAGTTGCTGGTACAGTTGCAGTTGGGCTGTCGTGGTCGGGTCGGCACCCAAGTAGGCCGCGGCGGGATTACTGGCCAGGAGGGCGGGACCCAGGGAGGCGTTCAAGGTCGCCGGGGTGTGCAGGGGAACCAGGGCTGTCTGGGCGGTGGCTGCTGTGCCTGCCTGCTGGACGGGCGGAACTGCCGCCAAAGCGGCTGCCATGGACGGATTGGGGCGAGCCGCTGAGGGCGGGGCCGCTATCAGCGCAGTGGCTGTGTTGGCGGTGGGAGTGGCGGCGGCCGCAGCAGCACCGCTGGGCGTGCCATTTGTGAGGGCTCCAATGCCACAGAAGGCGTGGAGCTGCTGCATTTTTTTCTGGTCTTTCTCCTTCTGTGTGTCTGCGAACTTGACAACCAGCGGAGCAGAGCAGCCCTCCATGGTCTGACTTTGGTGAAGGGCCTGAAAGAAATAAAAGCAGTATGGCTCATAAATAAAGAATATTTGAAAATGTTAAGTATAGAATGTTTTCAATATGGTTCAAAATATTTAAGGGTAAATTTAATTAATTTAAATAAATATTTTATTAAGGAATCTCTTATTGAACAATATATTACGTATACGCCTCGTTATTCTTATTTGGAAAAGGACGTCAGTAAGTTATAATATTCTTGGTATGGTGGAAAAAATTTTTTCAAGCGTGTAATTTGCAACACAATACAATTTTAAAAATAACTTTTATTGAAGATTCCTTCTTTGTTTTTTTGGTTTCATTTATTGCTCATACGCAGTGTTGCACGGATTCAACAAGTAAACAAAGAGAATTGAGGTTGAAATTTGTCCTTAAACAACATTTTTAGTTACAAAATTTCCGGTGTCTTTATTTCCGTCCAATGTTGGTGGAATTAAGAATTTCTTTTCAAGACTCTAAGCTTTCTTTGTCAAACAATATTTTCCCATCTTGTCAAAGAAATATTCTTCCAGAGCCAAAAATGCGGTGCATCCCTGCCATCCGGGGAACTGTTTCCCAACTGTGTGGCCATGGCGACCTGTTTTAAAACTCGGAAATTTCCCTAATTACTTTGTAGCCAAGAGCGGCCGCGTCGCGATGGGCGGGCCACAACAATGCCCGGCCATAAAAGTCGCGCCAGAGCCGCAAGAATTATAGTCAATGTAATTAAAGAGCACTTCTGGTGGCTGCCACGATACAGGCCGGCGGGCAGAGGGGTAATGGCGCCAGGATGCAGGCCAGAGTTGCCACCGCGCTGCCACAATTGAGCGGAAGTTTCGGCCCGGGTCGCTATAGACCCACCCGGCTGAGTTTCAATGATAAAGTCGACATAAACCGGAAAATAAGTAAAATGGCTTGCCAACCCTTGCCCCTCTGGACTCCTCCCTCATCAGACCGCAGCCAAAATGCCTTCGCTGAATGTTTGGCCTGGTTTTCGGGCCGCTGCCAGAGTTGCCAACCCCGATTTGGGGGTCCTTTCCCGTTCCCCTGGCAGTTTGTTTGTTTTTGGGCTTAGCAGAAAGGTGTAAATTAAGTCGCTTAAGCGGACAAATGGCTCTGTGGGTTAAACTATGCGAGGCTGTGGGCGGTTCAGTGGTTTGGGTGGTTGGTGGTTGGCGTTGCGGCAGCGGCTTAAGTGCACGTCATTATTCTGATGCTGTAAGCCGTCTCGCCATTGCCATAAAACTTATCAAAACTGTTTTCGACCTCTATCCGTTATTTGGCTGTTGTCTGTTTAGGACTTGTTTCAAGAAGGAAACTCTGGTGGGCTTACAAAGTTTACCAGGTATGGAGTACGGAGTATGGACATATTTATTTTCAGTAGCTTTCCCTTTAAATTTAACAACAACTTCTTAAATGTTTTTTATACTCTAGAAGCAGTTTCCTAATCCATGGTAATTTTTCTTTGGTAGCCCACTCAAGAAAAACGGGTTAAATGACCCGTTGGCCAGCTGTGAGTACTCGGAACTCGACCGCATTCCAAGCTCGCTCCCCGGACCCATGCAAAGCACTTGACAAATTAGCGAGACGAATGCGAAAAATAAAATCTGCATGCGTTGAAAAATGCTATCATCATTTGGTCGCCCCTCGTCCCATCCTCCTTCCCAGCGTCTCATACTTTTTCCTCCGCTCTGGTTTTTGTAAAGAAAAAAGGACTTAATGGAGAAGCAGTAGCGGCAGCCGAGAACAAATTGCTGGGCTATAAACATGGCACATTAATATTAAATGCACTTGCCTTGGCTCTTCAGCTTCATCTAAAGATTCTTGGGGCTGTAGCTGGTTGGGAGCTTTTTTGGATTTCATTTGATGGCGTTGCATACTTTCAGGCGTCAATAGACTGCAATGACTTGCAACCCTTGCTCGGTTCGCTCGATCCAAATCCAAAACGTTTGGCCCTGGCCAGCTTCTCCATAGATATATACATATATCTATGTATATGTATGTATCTATGTATAGTCCAAGCTCATTGTTGCCTCGTGCGTGCTTGGCATCCCGTAATTTGACTTCAAACGCATTAAAATCGCTGCCACACAAATAATAGTACGGTTGGATTTTGAGAACTTATAATGGTTTGAAATAAAATAATGGAATGTTTTCCAATAAATCATGCAGTCTTTATAATCTCATTTAGAATTTAGGAAAATCTAGAGCTCATTGTCACTAAGTGGTCGTTGTAGAGTGTTGGACCTGTAAATTCTCGATCTTCGTGTGAGTGCCTCCCAGTATCTGTGTGTCTTCAGTATGCATGTATGGCTCTATAATGGCTGCCCGCCCACAACAACATTCATCTTGCAAAAGGCGACAAATTATGTGCAATATACACAGAGCAGAGACAGTGTGTGGGACTGGCCCTCGCTGCCGCCCACAGCTCCTTACATGTGTTTGTGTTTGCCTGTCGGAAGTTTGTAATTTTGCCTGTTTCCGGCACAAAACTTGCATTAGTCTGCTTGGGGGTGTGGGGCTGGGGCTGAGTTGCCCAAAGCGGGAGAAGGGTAGGAGGCTGCAGCTTGGTTGCTAGGATTACCGTTGACTTCTTCCGCTGCCAGAGACGGCGTCTTGCTTGCATTTCTGCTTCCTGTTTGCAGTTGCATGCGGTTTTTGTTGTTGCCGCCGCTGCCATTATGGCCTGAAGCTGTGTTTGCCGGCATGTGTGTGTGGCCGCCTCTGCTGTGCTGTGAGTGTGTGTTTTATATGCGCGACTCTTGCCACCGCAGCAATTAATCATTGCGACAGTTTTTCCCACCATAGCCACAGGACCAAAAGGCAATAATGTGCTTAAAGGGAATCACTGGACTTAAAGGACATTTTTTGCACGCCCCTGATCGCTTTTTGATGTTTGTTTTAACAAAGGTCTTGGCTTGTCAAAATATGCAATAAATTAATCCTTGTAATGATAAATAGGATACTTTTGTACGTATTCCCGTTTAATAAAAAAAACCTTATAATAATTTTGAAGGATCACTTACCTTGATAGCCCCGATGGCGTTCTGTTTGGTCGCGAATGTGACGAAGGCACAGCCCTTGCTCTGGCCGGCCTGGTCTCGGAGGACGGTGCACTCCTCAATGGTTCCGTGGCCCGTAAAAAGTTGCCGCACATCGGCCTCCGTGTACTTCTTGTTCAGCATGCCAACAAAAAGTTTGCGCTCTAAAAATGCAAAAATGAAAAAAAAATGTAAGAATATTTTTGAGCGAATGTTAACTCGAATAAATACGCGAAAAATAGCAGTGGTTTGAAGTGGACTGGTTAAAATTACCATAAATAACAATGGGAGTTGCAAGAGGGGGGGCGGGCCAAGAGGTCGTCGAAGTTTAAAGGCCCGAACATAATGAGTCGCCAATGCTGCGGGAACTAGTATTATGTCCTGCCCGGCACTTAAAGGGCTTCAAGCGCCGTAAAAATGTTGCTCCAACAGAGGCTGCTGGCTGATTGAATGACTGACTAACTGACTGACTAGCGAGGGTTTCCAACGGAATGGTCGTCATAAAAGTGGCATTAAAAAGCCCGCACTCACATGAGAATAAATGGTTGCATGTGGGGCTTTGTGGCTTTAAAGCCTTGGATGCTAAAGGTGGCCTAGAAAAAGCATCTTCTTAAATTTTTAAACTAATTTATTTTAAAATCGGGCAATATTATGCTCTTCTAGACATCATTTGAGTTAAATTTTTTTTGTTAAATCCTTATGTTCATCATTGGACATCCCTGATCTCTCCTTGGCCAATACAGGTCAACGGGAAACACAAAGCACATGTTCGGTGGATTGGTTATATGAACTCTTGGCTGATGCTTAAATTCGTTAATGAGGTGCCTGTGTGGGTTTTGGCTTCCACTTTTTACGATCGGCCGGCGGAGTCTTAACCTAAATAGCGGAGCGCACGGCGTATGAGCAATATTTGTGTCGAGCATTTCTTTTTCTGAAAGCATGGAGCAACAATTAATCAGAAGTCAACTTTGTAAGCAGATGGGACCGGTAGAGGGCCAACAACTTTAAAGTGGAACAATAAATCGCCTTTACTTTGGCTCCCCCACATATATTGCAGATAGGTATGTACATATATGAGATCTCTCTCCATCGAAACGAGAACATTTGTAAAGGAAAAAGTTTTGTGCCTGGCAATTGTTATGCTTTATCTTGGTCCCCATGTGAGGCGGGGGCAAACTTTTTCGGCAGCACACATGCAAAAGACTAAAAACGCAATCGCTACAAATCGAATCAATGCAACAAGAACTGGCAAGCTGCAGCAGTAAGAAGGAGCAACTTTTCATTCTGCAACACTTTCGTTCTGCACCACCCCCTTCGCATTCCACTAACTGGCCCAACTTTAAAGTTTTCCAGAGACAACACGCATTCGAGGAGTTTTCAGAGATTCTCTTAAAAACAAACTAACCGTGCGTTCAGACCCCTTTTTAATACCCTAGGAAGGTAACAGGGAGGGAGGATGTGTGTGCAGGTCATCCATACAAGGGTGTAAGTGGTATTCTTGTGGAACTTGTAGCTCATCCCGAAACAGTATTAAGGTTCTATTTGCCATATTTGGTTTCCATATTAGACATATTTATATTACAGAGTACCAACACATTCGCAAGACTTCCTTCCTAGTGCCTTTTTGTGGGACTCCCCTTTTGGCTGGGGTGTCGTAAAGTATAAATATAGAAAATTGTGTCGCTGCAAGGGAAGTGATTGGAAATTGTTGCTCTTGCCTGGAGTTGGCACCAGAGAGGTGATCCGTGGGACCCCCCAGCCAAGGCACTCAGAACGCACTCAACCTGCCCCGAGGTGGGGTCTTATCTGAGTGTGGAGGAAAGTTTTTTCGAGCAAGGCATTCCTGTGTTCTAAATACATACGAAGTTATAGTTCTTTCCTGGGTTTCGTTTCCCTGTCCGGCACATGTGCAAAATTTATTTGAGGTTAGTTCAGGTGTGACACACGAAGTAACATTTTATATATTTATTGTATGGATTTGCCATTTTAAGTTGAAACTTTGCCAGCGAGAGATAGCACGAAGGCAAGGGCTATGACAAAAGAAGGTTACAACTTATTGCAGGCACCTGAGTCCGCTGCGTCCTACTTTTCCTCCGCTCCGGCCCACATGCTTTCGCCCCCACTCGAACAGCTTGTTAAGGACCTCTTTTGTATTTGGCATCGCTGATTGGAAAGTTTTATGCGCACGTGATTCTTTCACCGCTGATAGGAGTGTGTTGGGCAAGTCCAGGGCAGAATAAAATTCTCAAGCACTCGCCTTTGTTCGCGCAACTGATGGGCGTTAAATTGGTTGGCAGTGCAAGTGGTCTGAAAGTGGAAATATGCTCCACAAATACACCAATCCTCGGTGCTAGATTCCAGAGTTTTATAAAATGTAAATTATTAGTCGGTTTTCTCACAGTGCTGCGTAAGTCCAAGACACAACAAAAGCCTGTCGCTCCCAAAAGTTCGCCCATAAAAAGCCCTTTCATTGAATAAATAATCCGGATTGAATGGGAGAGCCTCTGATTCATTGCGGGTTATGGCTCATTTCCATTGGCACTGTCGCATTTCGAGCCATCTCCGCATTAATTCGACTTTAGGCAGTTTATTATTTTCACCTTCTCGGCGGCCAAGAACCAGGAGTCTGGAAGCCGTCACCGATGGGGAATCTCATTTAAGTGAAGACTCTGCTAGTGCCCTTTTCTCCCGTCTCTTTCCTGCAGTTCGCGTCGTCTCATTCACTTGCTCAGTGTCATTCCTCTGGGCCATTACAGTTGCAGAAATTGCAATTTCACGACAATTACCACAAATTGGTTTCCTCAACTGGCTGGGCGAACATTTTCGTTTCGTCCTTCTTCGTGTCTTCCGCCTCACAATTATGCAGCAAAGTTATACGGATTTTTCGGGGGGTCTGGGTCTGGGTCTGGGATGGTGGAAGGACAACTTCCGCCTGCGGCATATGCATTGTAAGTTCATCCTTGGGCGCCAACTCTGCCATATGATGTCGTTAACTGTCTTAAGATTTATATGCACAGTCAGAAGCGGAAACTGCACTTATGTACTCGCCCTCGCCACCCTCCCCGGAGGATGTCCTCATATATTTCACTTCACACTTGAGACATCAACTTTTGTGTCAAGTCGGTTTCTGGCCCCGAATTTCCACCCCGGGCAAAGTTTGTCATGTGCATAATTTACTTTTTCCACATTCGCCTCTCTTATCTTATTAGAGATATTTTTCTGGGAAGTCAGCGAAGCATTAGATTGCATTCAATTTGCATCACAATTGAGCTGCTCGGCTTGGCAAAAATCCTTTGGCGGCTCTTAATTATTTTGACAGTCCTGTTTGTTTGGCATAAACAAATTAGAAGACTGTCGAGCTTCCCTGATTCAAGATGCCCGACATGTTTTATGGCGTGACTGCCAGAAGTCACTTGAAAGCTGACTTGAAAAAATACAAGAAATTGTGAAAGAAACATTAATTTCTCCAAGTTATTCGGTTTATTGCTTTCTCAATATGTCAAACGCATTAACCAGAACAACTGCATATCCTTGCGAGCAAATGAAGCGGACAAACTTTTACCGAATAACTGCAGGCTTTCCACCCGGGGCTGTCAGCCGAGATTTGCATACATCGGATGGCACTGAATTTGCAACTAATGTGGAGCACATTTAAATGAGTACGAACTGAGCCGGGCGAAAGGATAAATGTTAAACACGCCAGCCAGATTTATACAAAACACACACTCGCCTGGAATTGCGAGCTTCGAAATGCCAATTGGCGAAGGAGCAGCTCGAACATTATTCAAAGCATGGCCAGGGGCTACGAGAAGCTGTAAAGTAATACATATGTAAAAACAGATGTGAACAAGCTAGCTAATGGCAACGCCACCAACCGCCCCCACACAAGGGTCATAAATTCAGATGCAGCTTAACAATGGGAATTATTCGAATACAGCTTTCGGGTATATGTATATGCTATGGATTTTTGAAGCCATTCAACGGTGACTACCTGTCTATTTTGAAACTAATTGGGTCTTGGATTATCGTAGATATCAAATGTAGATAATTGAAGCCACATCAGCATCAGAGAGACAGGGTCTATCAGGTTTCAATTAGGGCTTGCATCGTGCACTAAGCATAATGCGCAGCGCCAAAAACATGGAATAGGTACATACGGCAGGATGTCGCACTTCAGAGATTCCAACGATCCGCCGTCTGGGAAAACAGTTAACGTTTTCAATTATAACATAAACACTTGGATAACAAAAGGATAGCATACAAAGGCTACACCTGGAACAAATTTTAGACCTCGGGCTAGCTTTGAAGGAGTCTATACTTTAATAGTAGGAACTAGCCTGGTATATACCTGATTGCCCTCACACTGCCTTAGAAGCCGTAGTATATATCTGTACTAACATCTGTACATTTCTCTCCCTGTAAGTGGCATCCGTTGGTCCTGTTGCTCTTACTGCGTGTGTACTGTACAGATTAAGCGCCGAGTACCCACCAGGCCTGATAAATGAAAACGCCAGGCACACATATGCAGCAACAACGGCAGCAGCAACAATTTTGAAGTGCTGCACGAGTCGGAGGCAACTTTTCACATATTTGTATCTGTTTGTGTTGTTAAGTAGTTTGGGCGTTGGCAACTGCTGCTGCCTGATTCCCAGCAGTCTCAGCTGCATAAATATTTATTGCAGAAATTTTCATGTGTGCCGTGGAAGGCGAAAACTTCCATTGCATACTTTTGGACAGGGGTGGCGATACTCGACGGCAGATCCATGCATACAAACTCCAGGCCCATAATTAATTTAAAGGCCCGGCCATCGAGAAAAAATGTTGTAAACTGCTGAAATTATGGGGCTCATTGCTGGTCGGGTTGCCTATCAAAATGCACTAAAATGCGAATTACACATACGACCCTCTATGTGGCGGAGTAACTCTGCGCAAATTGTTCGTTTTCCCCCGCCGACCGAGTTTATAGCCAGGACCTGCGGGACCAGACAACCCAAACTTATTGCGGTGCAGAAATTTTTATGTTTTAATTCAATTAAGCTCCCTGGCGGTTTCCGGGGGTGGGCAGGGTCTCCTGTGGAAGGGACCTCTGCGGGCGACGCATTTAATTCGCACAAATTTTCGACATTTCTTTCCCGTTTTCTATGCCCTCCCCGCCTGCTCTGCG